CCCCAAAACCCCAAAACCCCATTGAATGTTTTGGACAAAAATTTTGATCAATTTAAATATATAAATGAAATAGTTCATAGAGATTCTTACATAAATAAATTAAATGCAAAGAAATTAGATTTCAACTCAAAACCTAGAAAACAACTAAAGTGAAGAAAGAATAAAATTAAATAAGTTAATGAGCTACCTCTATCTTATTCCTCCAATGTTTAAAGACTTATTCTACTTCTCAAATGTCATAGATGTAATAGACAAGTACTTAGAACCTCAATAGATGATAGTTTTTAAAAGAACTTGTAAGAGAATAAAAAATAAAATCGAAGAAAACTCTGGCATACTTAACATTTTCTTACAAATTTTAATCAATGATGACTATTGCGAAGTTTTTCCAAGATAAAAATTAATCAAATGGTACATTAAGTAATTCAATTGCTTACAAAATCTTCGACCAAATTAGCTAGCAATCAAATCTTTAGAAAATTGAAATGACTAAAATTTATTGGAAGAGCTAATTTTGTCAATGAGATTCTATTGTAGTAAACTTAAGTATATTAAACTTGAGAATACATCCTTTGAATTAGTTGAGAGTATCTTCTCAATAAACCAAGGCTCCATGATTCTGAAAGAATACACTTAGATTAAAGGAGAATTAGGAAAATGTCTTAGTTATCTCGAATAAATTGAGACTTTAAAAAATGTCTATTGTTTCGAAATAGACACTTCGAAATTCGAAAGTCTGAGTTAAAATAATGTAGTATTAAATGTGATCGATCAAAATACAATTCCTTAAAATGCATACTTTGTCAACTAGGCTATAAGAAAAAAAGTTTTGGAATAAGGTGAGCTCATAGTTTTTCACAGACTCTAAATGGATCAATACGAATGGATTCTCAAAGATGCTAAATATTTGCATACTATAAGAATTAAAGATGCACAATCACTCTCAGACTCTTTCTTTCATTTCCTAGAAAGTAAGAATTTGCATAAAGGGTTGAGAGAAATATCAATAAGAAATTTGTATTTCTAGCAAGAAAAAACGATTGTTGGATTCCTTAAGAATATAGCAAGCTAAGAAGATTGCCAATTGCATGTTGATTTCACAGGATGTGAGCCCTTTGGCAGAATTTAACAGATTGCCGAAGCATTAAAAGACAATTTTGGCATCTCTAGTATTATAGCAGATCGATTTGATCTTATAAGTATAGCTAGAATTCAGAATCAATACAATCTTATCGATGACATGCTCGAGGATCTTAGCATTGAGGAGATATAACAGCAACAATTTCTTCTAGACTATGGACAAGCTAATCTTCAAAACGTGATTGACTACTCAGAAAAGGTATCAAGTTTATTATGAAGAGTTAATAAAACAATCAATAAGTTACCATAAATTTAGTTGTATAATAGAAACAAATTTAATTAAAGTTTAAGTTTATTGCATTTAACCATTACTTATTAATTTAATATCAACTAATTAAGGATAATTTTATTGATCAATCTTTTATTAATTATTTAATCATTTTTCTTAATAGCAAATTATGCATTCTCATGGGGTTTTGGGGTTTTGGGGTTTTGGGG